AAAGCTGATCGATGCAACACAGATGAATAAATCTGCATTACACCAACAAGACGTCTTCACATAAATGAATATCTTTCCATTAGTGCGGCTCGCCACCTGCAGCCACTTCATATCTGATCTCCCTGCAGCTTATTGGACGAGGGTGATGTGTAAAACCAATATTTAGCAGCCGTGTGAATTCAATCACAAAGGCATTATATTCTCAGGCCGTTTCTCCGTCCCGCTGCAATTCAGATGTAATGATCAGCGAGTCGCCCGGAGGTGAGAGATGCAAACAGGCAGCCGGTTTATTCTTTAATCCTGAGAGAAAAACACAGAACAAGTGCGTCTCTCTGCGGCCTCGACATGAGGACACGGCCTCAGCGAGGATTATTCCGTCTAAAGAACAACATCAGGGTTGGTTTTAAGGCGCTTAGGGTGATGAAAGATCTGCGTTAGTTTTAAACAAACTACTTCTGCAAACAAAACCACAGCTTTAATCACGGTTAGAAAAACAATAGGAGTAGATTTCTTATTTGATCTTATTGTTATTTCCCTTCATCACTTTACATTAGTAACTTATTAACCCTTTAGAGTCCTGGGCTAATTTGGCCGTTTTCGCATACTTATGATTTGTCTTACTAAACCCCATTAAGAAATGTTTAGCATGTCAATGTTTGGTATCTATTTCTTAAAAACAACCTCACCTATATAAACGGATAGTTATTTGTTACATGTTGACATACTATGTGAACATTTTGGACCCAAAATCGCACAAAAAAAACGTATTTTTAGATTTTGAAAATGATATTATTTGTACTATGGGTAACACAAACATGCACAATGAAACATTTTGAAAGCTGGAAATATATACCTTCATCATGAGCCTGAGTCTTCATCATGTCTTCATCATGAGCCTGAGTCTTCACCATGAGCCTGAGTCTTCATCATGTCTTCATCATGAGCCTGAGTCTTCATCATGAGCCTGAGTCTTCATCATGTCTTCATCATGAGCCTGAGTCTTCACCATGAGCCTGAGTCTTCACCATGAGCCTGAGTCTTCATCATGTCTTCACCATGAGCCTGAGTCTTCATCATGTCTTCATCATGAGCCTGAGTCTTCACCATGAGCCTGAGTCTTCATCATGTCTTCATCATGAGCCTGAGTCTTCATCATGAGCCTGAGTCTTCACCATGAGCCTGAGTCTTCATCATGTCTTCACCATGAGCCTGAGTCTTCATCATGTCTTCATCATGAGCCTGAGTCTTCACCATGAGCCTGAGTCTTCACCATGAGCCTGAGTCTTCATCATGAGCCTGAGTCTTCACCATGAGCCTGAGTCTTCACCATGAGCCTGAGTCTTCATCATGTCTTCACCATGAGCCTGAGTCTTCATCATGTCTTCATCATGAGCCTGAGTCTTCACCATGAGCCTGAGTCTTCATCATGAGCCTGAGTCTTCATCATGTCTTCATCATGAGCCTGAGTTTTCATCATGAGCCTGAGTCTTCATCATGTCTTCACTATGAGCCTGAGTGTTCACCATGAGCCTGAGTCTTCATCATGTCTTCACCATGAGCCTGAGTCTTCATCATGTCTTCATCATGAGCCTGAGTCTTCATCATGAGCCTGAGTCTTCATCATGTCTTCACCATGAGCCTGAGTCTTCATCATGTCTTCATCATGAGCCTGAGTCTTCATCATGTCTTCACCATGAGCCTGAGTCTTCATCATGTCTTCATCATGAGCCTGAGTCTTCATCATGTCTTCATCATGAGTCTGAGTCTTCATCATGTCTTCATCATGAGCCTGAGTCTTCATCATGTCTTCATCATGAATCTGAGTCTTCATCATGTCTTCATCATGAGTCTGAGTCTTCATCATGAGCCTGAGTCTTCATCATGAGCGGTGGTGGCGAAGTCCATAGGGACCAGTTCAAGTCCCGGCAAGACCAAGTGCTCCCGAGGTGTCCCTGAGCAAGGCACCGTTCCCTACACTGCTCCCCGGGCGCCGTTCATAATGGCAGCCCACTGCTCCTAACACTAGGATGGGTCAAATGCAGAGAAACCATTTCATTACATAGTACCTGTACTGTGTAATGACAATAAAAGTGCATGTCTTCATCATGAGTCTGAGTCTTCATCGTGTACCTACTAGGACTTTTATTGCACATTTTTACCTCAACGTTATGTATTATAAGTATTCTGATTGTGAATCGATGTGAAAACACTTCCCTGTAAACTGCACTGGAAGCAGAGTGAAGGTTTAGTGAGCTCACACACACACACACACACTCACACACACACACACACACACACACACACACACACACACACACACACACACACACACACACACACACACACACACACACACACACACACTAAATCTCAGGGTTGTTCATTATGACCCAAACTTGAACCATTCAGTAAGATCTTGGATCTGAGCCAGCTGTCGAGCTTCACTGCTCCTGACGTGTCAGTTTTTTTTCTCTCGAGACATATTAGCATAACATTCAGAGCTTAACTTTGCACGAGATCCAGATACCTGCCCAATCTGTAGATAACTCCTCCTGCTCATATAGTGTATTTAAGGTTTATGGTCTGTCTTCCAAACTGTCGCATGGCAATAAAAAAGCATCTAATCCATCTGTCCGTCCAATGTTCATTTCAGGTGATATTCATAATGTATCCGATTCTATTTCAATGTAAATACTGCTATATTTGACTATATTTCTTAATCTTTTTTAATGGTTTCTTAAAATAGTTTTCAATCTGTGTTTTACATTTTTCTTTCTTTCATTCCAACACCAAGTCTAATTCATCGTACGTGTTAACCTACCTGGTGATACAACTGTTTCGGGGATTCACAGGCAGGGTTTGCATGGCAAGTTTAAGGAAAATTACTTGGTTTAGTACGGTGGCACGCAGGTGAAAACGTGCTGCATCGACCCAAAACATTTCCTTTAGGCATTGCAGCTTCAGAAACTATGCAAATATATATGTTTCTTCTAATGGAGATGTTTTGGGCTCGTTTGCACCTGTACACCACCGTAGTATATGGTGCAAAAAACACAAAATATACTTAGCCAGAAAGATGAATAGTGGTAACTAATGGTGCATAATCTCCCGCCTTTACTGTCCTTTTTCAAACACAACCCTTTAAAGTGCAATAAATACCCTGTTAAAGCAAAGCATGATGGGACAGAAACTTTCCAAAAGCAAATCAACGACTGGATAGGCTCTGTCTATTTATTTCAGAGCTTGCTGAAACAGGACAGTTGCATAAGCTCTCGACTTCACACACACACACACACACACACACACACACACACACACACACACACACACACACACACACACACACACACACACACACACACACACACACACACACACACGGACACCATGTCCTCCCCTGGCTTCTCGGGGCGGCTGTATTTTGTACATTTTGTACATTTATAACACCTTCGGGCTGAATGGCTGCGTCGGCTACATCGAGGAGATGTTGACATTTTTGTGGCGATCAACCATCAAACTCAGAGCGGCTGCATTCATGACCAACATCTCGTCTCTCAACACGACTTCTCTTATCTCTCACCCTCCCTCTCTCTCTCCCCCCTCCCTTTCTCTCTCTCCCATTCAACCCTTTAACGTTCTCTCTGTTCCCAGGTCATGCCCTCCTCTTACAATTCCTCGACAACAGGCTCAATACATCTTAAAATGCTAAAAAATAAGTGTAGATCAGGATTTGTGTGATTCTAAACTTTTATCAAATTGTCAATGTCAAGATTCAAAGGTTTTATTGTCATTAAGCTACAGTGTAGACATGGCAATGAAATTCTTCTGGCCTGAGCTCCTCCAACGATGCAACATGTATAATAAAATACAAAAATACAAAATAAAAAGTAGTGCAAGAAGTCTATATACATGTAAATCGAAGGATCCAATGTGTTTTTAAATGGAGCAGAAATAGAACTAGTCTCCCACTTCAAGTATCTTGGAGTCATACTGGACTCGAACTTGACTTTTAAGAAACATATTAAGAAAGTATCCAATACCATTAAATTCAACTTGCAAAATGTTAAACAAATCAGACCCTCCTTATGTCAATGCTGCAAAGTCATACCTCCACTGTATGATTCTATCCCACATTGAATACTGTTTTGACAAACTGGTCATTTGCTTGTGCCACAAACCTGAAACCCATAGAACAGCTGTACAAGAGAGCTATCCAGGTGTTTGACAGAAAGTCACATTCATACCACCACTGTACCATCCTAGAGAAACACAACTTCTTTGAGTTTTGACAATTTTAAGTCTTTTAAAAGTATGTGTTTTATGTATAAATGTTTACATGGACTGCCCCCCCCCCCCCCCCCCCTTAGGGGAATTCATCCACAAAAAACACACTGGACGCTGCACGAGGTCAGAAACCAGAGGAGACTGTGAGGTCCACCGCAGACGGACCACTTTTGGACAAAATATACGGGATTGTCCCACTCTCAATAGCTTCAAAGAACAACTCAAAGAATGGATGAGAAACAAACAGACGTGTAATCACCGCTAAATGCACTTTAACACAGGGGTATCTCCTCTTGCACTTTAGGTAGCCCTTGTATCTTCTCCTGCACTTATAATATGTCGTAGCTGCTACATTGTACTGCCATGTGATTAATGCTTGTATATGCTGCTCATGCTCTTTCTGCATATCATGTATTTATTTTTGCTATGTTTATAAATGTCAGGTTCTTAAATGTTGTATGTGACAGGACTACGGATGGAAATTAGCTCAAAGCTAAAATCCGGCATGTTTACGTTTTAAAGCATTATTTGTTTTAAATGTTCATCAATATGCATTGTATCTCTTCAATAAACGATTAAATGAAAATGAAAAGGTTCTGTATATATCTGAGACCTATAATATATTGATGAAAAACAGTATAATAGGGGACCTTTAAGTCCTTTATGTGTATCTTTTGCCAAATATTCTCTCACCTGTACCCCTTCCCTCTCTTTAGAGACCTGAAGCTGGACAACATCCTGCTGGACGCCGAGGGTCACTGCAAGCTGGCTGATTTTGGGATGTGTAAAGAGGGAATCCTGGAGGGAGTCACCACCACCACCTTCTGTGGGACGCCTGATTACATCGCTCCTGAGGTGACCGCACGCACACACACACACACACACACACACACACACACACACACACACACACACACACACACACACACACACACACACACACACACACACACACACACACACACACACACACACACACATACACACACACACACACACACACACACAGAGGTGGGAAGTAATGGAGTACAAATACTTTGTTACTGTACTTAAGTACATTTTTCTGGTATCAGTACTTTACTCACTTCTTATTTTTCTGACGACTTTTTACTTTGACTTCTTACATGTTGAACCCAAATACCTGTACTTTCTACTTCTTACATGTTGAACCCAAATACCTGTACTTTCTACTTCTTACATGTTGAACCCAAATACCTGTACTTTCTACTTCTTACATGTTGAACACAAATACCTGTACTTTCTACTTCTTACATGTTGAACCCAAATACCTGTACTTTCTACTTCTTACATTTTGAACACAAATACCTGTACTTTCTACTTCTTACATGTTGAACACAAATACCTGTACTTTCTACTTCTCACATTTCCCAAACAGGCTGGTTCCTTTAGTTTGAATGTGTTTGGTGGCGTGATCATTATTATTTAGAGTCATTGCGTGCCTATTGATTTGAACACGATCCGTGTATCCATCATTTCCTGGTCTTCTCTAAAGAAGAGGGACCAATGAAAACGTTGTCATGTTGCCGTTGTTCAGCATGGAAACATTCATTAGCTAACAATGACATTATTGTTCTATTAATATAAAGGGAGGTCAGGTACTCTTTAAAACAGCTGCTAGTTATGGGTACTTTTTACTGAAGTACATTTCAAAGCCCTCTTTACTTTTACTTGAGTAAAGAAGTTTAGTCAGTACTTCTACTTTCACCAGAGTATTTTTAAACACGAGTATCTGTACTTCTACTTGAGTAAAGGATGTGTATTGTGTGTTTAGATCCTCCAGGAGCTGGACTACGGGCCCTCGGTGGACTGGTGGGCTCTCGGGGTCCTGATGTACGAGATGATGGCGGGCCAGCCTCCGTTTGAAGCCGATAACGAGGACGACCTGTTCGAGTCCATCCTCCACGACGACGTGCTGTACCCTGTGTGGCTCAGCAAGGAGGCCGTGTCCATCCTCAAAGCGGTCAGTCACTAAAACACTTGTTAGTCCACTTCCTGTTGTGTCTATGTCAGCAATTCCCAACCTTTTTCAACTCAGGGCCCACTTAAGAATCTAAAAAATGTTCACGTCCCACATTCAACCATAAACAATACGGAGGCTAAATAAAGTTCTCAGAGTACTTTTTATTTTAATTCTCATGATCCATCCTCTTCGTCACTTATCTCAAAGTGCGTCATATTGCATTGTATTTAACTTAAGAAAGCAACATTTTGATAAAAAATGTCTGTTAATATTCCCATAATTGTTATACATTGCAATACAAAATACAAACAGTTAAAAGTAGGTTGAATTGCTATCTCCGTTTTTCCTAAAACAAGCCGTGCTCTGTTTATTTCAATGTGAAAGTGCGATAAAAATAGTTTGTCACTTATCATGTTGTCAATATTGATGAAAATAATAACAGCACCAATCGTTGGAAAGGAAACTTCAACATTGAACCTTTCAAAAAATGTACTGCAGCTCTTAAAATAGACCGGGATTCTCGGACCCATTTTGTTCAATCATCTCTAGATCTGATTCCTCTTGTTCTTGCATTTCACATTTGCTCTACAACACACACACCAATCTAAACCTCCATTTAGCACAATCAAGCTGAGCCTCGCTCTGCCAACATGTCGTCAAAGTTGTGTTGTTTTTTCCTTTGTTTTGCTTCTCCATCATGCTTTCTAACCACTAGATTCCACCGGGTCCGTCTGCGGCGCGTTACGGGCGCATTACGGGCGCGTTACGGGCGCGTTACGGGCGCGTTACGGGCGCGTTACGGGCGCATTACGGGCGCGTTACGGGCGCGTTACGGCTGCTCCGCGGTGCTCACGGCGATCGCGGCCACTCTAGTCAATGGGTGCTATTCCACCACACGCGGCGCGTTGCGGCTCAGAAGCGTCCCAGAAGCGGCTCGGCGCAGGGCTTTTCTAAAATTAGGATGAATCCTATTTTTGACGCGGCGCAGCCGTAACGTAAGGTCGGGCAGGCAGGAAGTGGAACGGTCAGAGCTATATAGACCTATATATACACACACACAAACTAATTTTGCAGACCCTATCCCTCCGTAGTCTTTCAAGTAGGAGGAGAAATGCCAGCGTTCTCCTCCGGTTTACAGGCACTGTGTAAATTATATATATAGAATAATTATGATGACGAATGCATTTTTTTACCACTAAAATACAGCAACACATCTTTGATTCATGTCGTTTATAACTGGAATATTACAGTTATTATTAACTTTGTCTGTACAAAGTAGCCTGTCCAGGAAATATGCCCAAATCAACAAAACGCTCCGCTTCTGAAATGCTTCTGAAACGCGCCTGGTAGGGTATGACGCCGGAGGAGGCCGTACCAAAACCGCGGCGCAGCCGTAACGCGGCGCAGACGGACCCGGTGGAATCTAGGAGTAAGAGTAATCAAGCTTTCTTATAAGCATTTAAAGTCACACATTATGAAGAATTCAGGCCCTAATGGACAATACTGGTACAGATCTATAATCATAAGGACTTGTGTTCCTTCTTTGTCTCTTTATCCGCTCTCCTCTGTTTCTCAGGGTCACATGTGTGTGTGAGGAAGCTGCTTTTTTCTTTGTGTCATATGTTGATCCATGTTTCCTCCGGAGAAAGAACATTGGAACATATCCTCTATGTTTTAATCCCTGTATGTGTGTGTGTGTGTGTGTGTGTGTGTGTGTGTGTGTGTGTGTGTGTGTGTGTGTGTGTGTGTGTGTGTGTGTGTGTGTGTGTGTGTGTGTGTGTGTGTGTGTGTGTGTGTGTGTGTGTGTGTGTGTGTGTGTGTGTGTGTGTGTGTGTGTGTGTGTGTGTGAGACTCCATTTGGTCCGTTGGCTTATTTGTTTGTCCAGTTTTTTCCATTACAAGTCTTGGTTTACCTTGGCTGTTCAATGCAAAGCTTTGTGGGAAAGTGTGTGTGTTTATGTTGGACAGTGTCTTGGACTCTGACCAGTCACTTGACCGGTCTCTCTGCGCTCTGATTGGACACGGCATGCAGCTGAAGTCACGTGACCAACTCTCTGAGCTGAGCAGCCTGTTCACCACTCATCCAGCTTTCATAAAATTCAGTAAATCCTGCAGAAATGTGTCGAGATATAAAATAATTAGCATACAGGAGAAGTCAGAATATACAAGACAGGGATTCCTATGTATTACATATCTGAGCATAAGATACGATACGATAAGAAGTACTTTATTGATCCCAAATTGGGAAATATTTGCGTTGCAGCAGCATAAAAAGACAAGGCATTGTAGATAAGTAGAAATTAAAAGACTAGCAATAAACAGTCCAAAATGTAAACATCTCAAAAAGAAATAATATAGCATTAAAAAAGTAAAGAATATGCATGAGGAAAATATACATGTGGAAATACAAATGTATAGTAACAATATATAAATCAGGATATTATATATACATTAATTGTGCAAGGAATGGATTATTAAATATTAGGTTTCTGGGAGTTTGTTCCAGATGTTTGGAGCATAAGAACTGAACTTCTCCAGGTTTAGTTCTGACTCTGGGGACAGGAAGCAGACCAGAAGACCTGACTTGACACACAGGAAGCCAGTGTAAAGACTTCAGAACTGGACTGATCCACTTTCTTAGTGTTAGTGAGGAACCAGTGTAAAGACTTCAGAACAGGACTGATCCACTTTCTTAGTGTTAGTGAGGAACCAGTGTAAAGACTTCAGAACAGGACTGATCCACTTTCTTAGTGTTAGTGAGGAACCAGTGTAAAGACTTCAGAACAGGACTGATCCACTTTCTTAGTGTTAGTGAGGAACCAGTGTAAAGACTTCAGAACAGGACTGATCCACTTTCTTAGTGTTAGTGAGGAACCAGTGTAAAGACTTCAAAACTGGACTGATCCACTTTCTTAGTGTTAGTGAGGAACCAGTGTAAAGACCTCAGAACTGGACTGATCCACTTTCTTAGTGTTAGTGAGGAACCAGTGTAAAGACTTCAGAACTGGACTGATCCACTTTCTTCGTGTTAGTGAGGAACCAGTGTAAAGACTTCAGAACAGGACTGATCCACTTTCTTAGTGTTGGTGAGGAACCAGTGTAAAGACTTCAGAACTGGACTGATCCACTTTCTTAGTGTTAGTGAGGAACCAGTGTAAAGACTTCAGAACTGGACTGATCCACTTTCTTAGTGTTAGTGAGGAACCAGTGTAAAGACTTCAGAACAGGACTGATCCACTTTCTTAGTGTTAGTGAGGAACCAGTGTAAAGACTTCAGAACAGGACTGATCCACTTTCTTAGTGTTGGTGAGCAACCAGTGTAAAGACTTCAGAACTGGACTGATCCACTTTCTTAGTGTTAGTGAGGAACCAGTGTAAAGACTTCAGAACTGGACTGATCCACTTTCTTAGTGTTAGTGAGGAACCAGTGTAAAGACTTCAGAACTGGACTGATCCACTTTCTTAGTGTTAGTGAGGAACCAGTGTAAAGACTTCAGAACTGGACTGATCCACTTTCTTAGTGTTAGTGAGGAACCAGTGTAAAGACTTCAGAACAGGATTGATCTACTTTCTTAGTGTTAGTGAGGAACCAGTGTAAAGACATCAGAACTGGACTGATCCACTTTCTTAGTGTTAGTGAGGAACCAGTGTAAAGACTTCAGAACTGGATTGATCCACTTTCTTAGTGTTAGTGAGGAACCAGTGTAAAGACTTCAGAACTGGACTGATCCACTTTCTTAGTGTTAGTGAGGAACCAGTGTATAGACTTCAGAACTGGACTGATCCACTTTCTTAGTGTTAGTGAGGAACCAGTGTAAAGACTTCAGAACAGGACTGATCCACTTTCTTAGTGTTAGTGAGGAACCAGTGTATAGACTTCAGAACTGGACTGATCCTCTTTCTTAGTGTTAGTGAGGAACCAGTGTAAAGACTTCAGAACTGGACTGATCCACTTTCTTAGTGTTAGTGAGGAACCAGTGTAAAGACTTCAGAACTGGACTGATCCACTTTCTTAGTGTTAGCGAGGAACCAGTGTAAAGACTTCAGAACAGAACTGATCCACTTTCTTAGTGTTGGTGAGGAACCAGTGTAAAGACTTCAGAACTGGACTGATCCACTTTCTTAGTGTTAGTGAGGAACCAGTGTAAAGACTTCAGAACAGAACTGATCCACTTTCTTAGTGTCAGTGAGGAACCAGTGTAAAGACTTCAGAACTGGACTGATTCACTTACTTAGTGTCAGTGAGGAACCAGTGTAAAGACTTCAGAACTGGACTGATCCACTTTCTTAGTGTTAGTGAGGAACCAGTGTAAAGACTTCAGAACTGGACTGATCCACTTTCTTAGTGTTAGTGAGGAACCGGTGTAAAGACTTCAGAACTGGACTGATCCACTTTCTTAGTGTTGGTGAGGAACCAGTGTAAAGACTTCAGAACTGGACTGATCCACTTTCTTAGTGTTGGTGAGGAAACAGTGTAAAGACTTCAGAACTGGACTGATCCACTTTCTTAGTGTTAGTGAGGAACCAGTGTAAAGACCTCAGAACTGGACTGATCCACTTTCTTAGTGTTAGTGAGGAACCAGTGTAAAGACCTCAGAACTGGACTGATCCACTTTCTTAGTGTTAGTGAGGAACCAGTGTAAAGACCTCAGAACTGGACTGATCCACTTTCTTAGTGTTAGTGAGGAACCAGTGTAAAGACCTCAGAACTGGACTGATCCACTTTCTTAGTGTTAGTGAGGAACCAGTGTAAAGACCTCAGAACTGGACTGATCCACTTTCTTAGTGTTAGTGAGGAACCAGTGTAAAGACCTCAGAACTGGACTGATCCACTTTCTTAGTGTTAGTGAGGAACCAGTGTAAAGACTTCAGAACTGGACTGATCCACTTTCTTAGTGTTGGTGAGGAACCAGTGTAAAGACTTCAGAACTGGACTGATCCACTTTCTTAGTGTTGGTGAGGAACCCGTGTAAAGACTTCAGAACTGGACTGATCCACTT